AGATAGATAGATAGATAGATAGATAGATAGATAGATAGATAGATAGAATATTTCATACGATTAATGTAATAAGTGGATCGATTTAGTTCCCTCCAAACTAAGTACTGTTAGCATTCTGATATTATATTAATTGGCAGAGGATCAAATATGTCTGATTTGTCAAGAAAATGAACACATTTTATTGTTTGGATCCATTATTTGTAAAATCCTTCAAGAGTCCCAGTTGCAGACTCGACAAGGATTCCAATAATAATTTATGTTTTCTCGAAATCTGTCGTTTTCGCGTCTAATTCGTCCTTTTATTTGAGCAGAGTTGTAAAGTTTTAGTCGGCGAGTGAGGCTGTGCCTGTCAGAAAAGTTTGCATATCTAAAGCTCCAGCCTGCTGGTGGTTGGTGGTGGTGATGGGGAATCAGAGGCGGACACGTCGAGAAACGAAAGAGGGAGAAAAACAGCGACAAAACACCGAAGCGCCAGCTGTGCAACCGGGGAGAAAACCTGCTCACCAAATCTCAGCGTGATCTGAAACAGAGCGGGGAGCGGTGGCTGGACGCAGACAGACACACAGGGTAGGGATCTGTGTGTGTGTGTGTGTGTGAGTTGGGGGGGAATTCAAGGTATTCAAGGGGGGCAACTTGAATACCTATGTCTTGTTTTATTTCAACCCAGTTCTTTATCTCTACCTTTCTATCAGTCAGAGGGGGTCACTTCTGGAACATTCTCCCAACAAACATCAGGGAAGGTCCCACTTTTTATCAATCAATCAATCAATCAATCAATCAATCAATCACTTTATTTTGGTAAATTGTCCACATTAAACACAAGAAACAACAAAATAAAAAAGAAAAGAACAATAGACAAACCCACAGTTTACCAAAAAAAGAATAGGCCGAAGCAAAGCTTATTCTTGCCTACCCTATTTTTTTACCTGACAACCTACCAGGATTTCTTCAAATTCAGATTCAAGTACATAGTACATATATAGATCTTTTTTTACAAATTTAAAAAGCACCTTAAACTGTTTCTCAAAAGTTCCCATTTATGCAATCACTAATTTTAATTTTGTAATGTCATTGTCTGAACGTGTGTCTCTCTGTTTTAACTGATATTGTATTTTGTGATTTTGTGTTGTTTTGTCTTCCTGCCTCAGGACGACAGATGCGAATTAGCAACTATGCTAGAATCTGGCTCATTTACAATCTGTATGAGATTGTTCATTAATGTTCACTGTCCTGATTAAATAAATACATAAACTTTTTCACACATGCATGCACAGAAACATCTAAGATGGTCCCGTTCACCTGTCCTCCTCTTATCTCTCCCACCATGCTGCCTCCCACCTTCCCCCTTTTGCGTCTTAATTCTTTGTGGTCCGTTCCCAATTCCCAATTCCCTTCCCTTTCGTTTCCTTTCTCGTTCCTGCTCTATCTCCCTTTCATGCAGCGTCTCAGACCACTGAGACCAGCCTCCAGTGGACACATAAGAATAAGAATTTAGCATCTGCCGCAAGAATCTTAATTTCTCTCTCTTGCTTGATTTTGTTTTTTTTTATTTTTTGCTCTTACTGTTTTTAATCTTTGAGTTTGTCTTGTGTTGTGGTGATAATTGTGTTTTATGATATGCTCAAATGGCCTGTACAGCGCTTTGATTTTAGCTTTGGCTGACTGAAAGCGCTTTATAAATAAAGTTGAGTTGAGCAAGATGGGGAGGGGGGGGCGGATGGAGAGATGAGAGCAATTTGAAAGGGACAAAAGGGAAAGCAGAGTACAGGAGGGAAAGGAAAATGGGGTGAGATGGGAGTCATAGTTTCAGGGAGTGGGGGGGGAGGGGGGGGGTTCTACGGATGTCAGTGATTTGTGAGCGGATCGTCGGCCACCCTGCATCAATAAGGGGGGAAATGGACTCAGACCGGGGCATGCTGTTAGCTTCTGAACAGTGAACACATATCACCGTTTTATCACAAAACAAAGCACACAGACCTGGCTCAAATAGTCATAGTTACAAATTTAGCCATATTTACTCGGTTAGGATTCTCGATATATTTCTTTATATTTTACTGCCAACAAATCAAATGGCAAAATGCGTTTTCCCAAATGAGCCTTCTCTTTTTACAGGGACTTTTGTTTACATTTGTAATCATTTCTTGCAATGCTGCAGAATTATTAGAACATTTTATGTTTTTAAAAACCTCTCGTGTGAATCATCATATTCGAACCAAAAGGGCTCATTCTTTTCCAACTTGTTGCAGACTGAGTTTTTTGTGAAAAACACAAGTTATCAGAGACTGAACTGATCTTTTCCTAAATCTGACCAGTGTTTTGTTCTTACTAAACCTCTGCTTGCAAAGAAAAATCCAGCAAAAATCAAGCTTATAACAATCCACTTATCTTTTCTTTTCAAAATAAAACTCTTCTATACATCACTTTTTGCAAAGTCTTTCAACTTTTCCAATTTTCTCTCATGCAAAATGTATTTTCTTTTTGCTTTGCACCCCTGCTAACAGATTGAATTTGAAAAATTTAGATTTACTTGGGTTCAAATGTAACAGAAATGGATTATCTCACTGCTTAGAGGCACGAAGCCATCTAACAGTTTAAACCAAAAATATTCAGTTTTGAACAAATAGGCGGATATTCACATTTTGCATTTTGTGGTCAAACTATCCTGTCCGAATTAAATTCACTTGCGATTGCTGGTAGTATATTTTTTCCATCCAGTCGTGTTTAACACAGTTTCTGCCGAAAATCTCTGAGATAGTTTCATTTAATGAGCCATTGGGCTCGGCAGGTTGAGCTGAACTGACCACCTATCCTAATAATTCATTCTGACAGATGTTTGCATCACCGGCTCCTTGAAAGTCTGATCATTCATTCATATTCTTTTTGTTTGTTCAACCTTGTCAGTAGTGAATGATGCACGCCAGCCTCTTTTCAGAAAGCATGGACGCGACACGCTTAGTTTTCAAAGCTGAAAATAATCGTATTCCCTTTTGAGGCTCAATTTTTAGTTCTGTTACAAACTCAGAATCTGCTGTGGGATTTGTTGCCAGAAAAATATCAAATAAACCATAAACAAGCCTGTGGCCTGTTCTTTCATAACCACTTATTCTTAGATCTGTGGAATTCTTTTCAAAACGGATTAAAACTCTTTTGCATTTCTACTTAAATCAGGTCTGAAAATTCAACAGCTGTACGGGAAAAAAAGTAGACGAAAAACGTGAGGGGTGGGGGGGGGGTGATTTGTTGTACGTGTATACAAATGTGAGTTAGAATGCAGTGAATAAACACTCATACTAAATCAAAAATATGCATGTATGACTTACCACGTCTCAATGATCGGTGAGCTACCAAACCCAAGTGAAAAACAAATATTTCAGAAACATGTCGATGGCGAGAGAAAGAGAACACAGCGCACAAAGACCCCCGTCCACATTCAGCACGATTAGTGCCCAAAATCCCCCTCAAACAATTATTCAAATCAAATCAGCGTTCTCTTCCAGAGGCCCGCTCTGTGCACAAATCTGCGAACGACTACCCATTTTCTGCCTGTGATATGGAGCACTATCTCGTGGTTGTTTCAGTGTCGGGTAGCCGTGGGGGGGGGGGGGGGGGGGTTTGTAGCGTCAGGTTTTATCTAGAAAACACACTGCATGCTGAAATTTGAAGGATTTCAGGCAGGCTGTGATCAAAGTGTCAGCGCTAGATTTGTTGTGGAAATGGATTTTTCATGTTTTTCCAAAGATCTCCAGGCATTTGTTTCCAGTTTGCAGCTTGCTTATCTTCTAAGCGTGTGTGTGTACGTGTGGTTTTTGGTACGCCATATGGTCATTTAGAGCCATAAAGAAGGCGACATGATGCCATGAAAATGAATGTACATCTCCTAAATACTTGAAATATCACAATATTTAATATTTGGAGATGAAACATGTAGAAAATTAAGCAGATGATAAGATCAGGGTGATTCGACAAATATCAAAACGCATAGCCGTCTTTCCTTTTATTTCTTTTTATTTCCGTTTGCCTGTTTGCTGTCCCAGGCCAGTCGCAGTTCCCTCCTGATAACAATTTTGAGCTCACGACTGAATGACATCAGTAATAAAAAGGATTCATGGTGATGCTCCCTCCAGCTTATGAGCCAATAGCAATAACTAACTATTACTGGGAATAACAGCAGGGGATCCACACAGTCTGTCAACCACAGGAAGGGATGACCCACACAGAGTGTTAGGCTGATTCTCAGCCAGTGCTATTCCATTTAAAAACAAAAAGAAAATGAGCGGCAACTGCAGGCCGAAACCACTCGTAGAAAAACGGTCGTGACTATGGCTTGTGACATTTTTTATGATTCAATCTTCAACAGAAAAAAAAAAAAAGAAACGCCACATTTTCAGTAACAAAATGGATTCTCAGTGGAGCGAATTGAAAAGGAGGACCGTGTCAATTGGTTTTTTTACACATCCAAGTCAAGCACTGTGTCCTGCTGCGGTCCAGATGGCCTTCCAGTGACCGAATGGAGCTGTGAATGTGATATTCCCCTCTCCCTCTACATTATTTCCTTACCATTCTTAGGTGTGCGTGTGGGGCTACCTAGAGCCACATGGTTATAGTTGTGCTGATGGGCACCTGCAATGACAAAAGCAATGAAAGATCTGTTCAGCATCCACCAGGAACACGCTGGTCAGCTCACACACAGACAGCAGTGTGAGGGTGGCAATTAAAGAGAAAGCTCACCGTTACCAAGGCTAAAAATGTTTGTTTCGTGGTTTAAAATATGCTACCTGCGTCGTTTGTGCTGTAGGGAAATTATGTCAATGCCATGGTTGTGGTTACCCGGTGAAAAATCTCTTTAATTTCCCAAAATGAACCAAAAATGGACATGAGGAAAGATGAGAGAGAAATCGTGGGATGAATGGAGTCTGCTGTAACTTCAGCTGTAACTTTGAAAGCATGTTTACATCAAACGGAATCCAGCACTAACAGCAGTTACATTAAGAGGGGGGGGGAAAAAAACACAAAAAGGAAGGCTGACATACAATATTTATCACATCCTGTCCTGGATTACATGGCCTTACTTGGATATTGTATTATTTAAAAGTAAGAGTAAGTCAGATGCCAAGACTGCGTGGATCTGGGCAGTCATCCTTAAAAAGGATCATTCAAATGCAGGGCGACCAACACAAGCAGATTAAAGAAACAGGATGACTATTTTATCATTCTAAACATGCATGGTATTTAGAAAAAAAACCTCAGTGAATAAAACACAGTAAAAGTATAGTGAGAAAGCCTTTCTACAGTTTTAAATCACATGAGCACCCTACAAATAAACATCACAAAAGAAGTTAGGCGTATCATTAGGAGATACCATGGAAGATGACATCATTAGGAGATACCATGGAAGATGACATCATTAGGAGATACCATGGAAGATGACCTCATTAGGATATACCATGGAAGATGACCTCATTAGGATATACCATGGTGAAACCTTAATGATGACTGCGCTACTATAGTTTTGGCCCTCCAACAATATTCGAATTCCAACAATGAATCCTTAAACTCGCGTTGTTGAACATATTTGTTGATGAACAACATCGAGTCACCATTTCGGTTTCCAGGCAACAAAATCGTTGCATGCTAACCTCTGCCTTTTAAAACCGAAACGCAGCAGTGTTTTTTTTTGCGAACCCACGCTTTAAAAGCGTAAACTAACGGTGAACTTTCACGTGAATATCTTGCAGAGCGTGAAACTATCCAATATAGAAAAACAGCACTCCTTTAAGATGTTGAAATAGTCTGTGACAGCAAAGATGGTTACTTAAGGGAACCAAGATCACATTTCCTCTCACCAGATGTTGTCATTTTCTCTACTTCCTAGCAATGTCAGCTGTGGTAGATAAGGCCTTGGTATAAAACTTTAATTCATTCCTGCCTTCAGATTTACTGTCTTAAAAATGTTTGTCTTCATTGTGACATTTCAACATTAGCATCTGTTCTACGTTTTCTTGAGAATTATTCTGATACAAACAATGGACACAACAACTTAAGCAGACTTTTGAAAAGAAAGCCTGATTCTTAATAATAATGCATGTCCATTGCTGCTGAATTTAAATTTAAAAGTCCCTCATATTTAATTTAAGGTCCGCTTGTTTTGTGCATAGCGTTTCAGAAAAACAAGGTGAAATGAAGGCAAAAAGGATCAAAAGTTAGCCCCTACTCTGGCGAAGAGGAAAAACCTTGCAGGCTTTCACTCTCAAAGCATCAGAGCTCTGGTCAAGGATAAAGGGAGCAAACTAGATTTGTGTATTATCCCCTTAAATCTCCAGTGAGGCCAAAATAAACAACTCGTACGGTATGGATGAGAGACCGGAGAAAGTAGGAAGCTCTTAGCCACAAGTGCACCAAATGTGATAGAAGTAAAGCACAAAAAACGTCACATTCAGTTAAACATAGAAGGACTTTTCACTGAGAGAGTCCTTGGCTCAACAAAACTCTAAAGCAGCGTCCACTCGTGTTTAAATGACAGAAAGCCAGTTTTCTTTTTAGCACAAGCGGTCAACATCACCACATCAGGTTTGGTTTAGCGACCACATGGGCTGAGTTTTGTCAAATATGTGTTTATGGAAGCTGTTGTAAAAACCCAGAAGGCACCAGGTGAGATCATTAAGGCATCTTAAACACAACTTTACACAATGGATGAACTGAATGTGTGAGTGGAGTGATCATGTGGAAATATACACAACTGTAAAATAGAATCCACATGCTTTCTCCTTATACCATAGACTCATTGCATTCGGTCATTTGATTCCAATCCAGAGAACAATTACCGAGGCCCTTCAACTGAGATCTTGTCAGATTTGTTCCATCATCACGCTACCACTGAGAAACTGCGTATCAGGATTGACTTGAGTGTGTGTTTAGCTATGTTCAGATGCGTTGTTACAAACTATGCAGAAGCTGCTGTTATGGAAAATGTTCTTTAAATGAGTGAGGCTAAGTTTCCTAATAATTAGAGAAGATCGATCTTGTCCAATAAAGGTATTTTATTCGAAGGTAACAGCCAACGGCCACTGTGTTTCTTATCAGCAACAAACAAGGAGATTCTGATTTACTCCTCAGTCCTCAAAGAAGTCCCATGGAGAATCTCCAAAAGGAAAAAAGCTATGCTTATTCTCAGGAGACAGGAAGGGCCCCCATGTGGATTGATCAAAAGGAGAATCTTCTCAGGAGATGAGATCATGTCTGATCCTTCTCACCCTGGTCACAAACTTTTTGGAACTCTCCCCTCTGGCAGAAGGTTGAGGACCATCAGGACCAAAACCTCACACCATAAAGACAGTTTCTATCCAGCAGAAACTGGCCTCATCAACAAGGCCAGTGACCCCCACCTATTCTTCTCCCACCCCCCTCTACCCCACTAATATACACAATGCTACTGTCAGCATTTTCTGGTCTGTCAACATTGCACATTTCAATTGTTCATTTGTACATTCACACCTGTATACATACTTTTGATATTTGCAATTTAATATTTAATATTGTATCTTTGAGTCTTATACCCATATTTCCATTCTCAGCTCTATATTTTAAAAGATTGTACTTTTTAGTTTGATATTTTATGTTCTATATTTTTATTTCTACATTGTATTTCTTTGCTTCTCATAGAAGTGGTGTGCACCAAACACCAAGGCAAATTCCTTGTAAGTGAAAAACCTACTTGGCAATAAACCTTATTCTGATATTCTGATTCTGATTCTGAGTGAGGATGTCACAAAGGGAAGTCATACAATTTCAATGATGAACAGAAACGGGAGAATCATCCTTGATGGGATTAAGGAAATTGTCGCATTTCCTACTGGTGCTACAAACAACGTCCCAATTACCAATCTGGTATCCTTAACAAGAACCAAAAGAGAAAAAATCTCCAGGACACTGCCCATGTCTCACGCGTGCACAAGGGCCATTTAACAAGCAGAGCAATGTTTGTATTGCCTTCTATAGGAGTGGAGTAACTTGATTTTTCGAGTTAGACAATAAACCGTTTGGGCCGTTTATCCGTCCAGCATCACGGAGGCGTTCGTGGGGGACACTGACTGCAGAGCAGCACCGGGCTGAGCACTGCACCGTGGAGGTGCTTTAGCTGAAAGATGGGACCTTTACCGAGCCCATTGTACTGGGAAAGTTGACGAATGACAGCTATTCTCACCAGTGCGCGGGAATGTGTGTGTGTGTGTGTGTGTGAGGGGGAGGCAGCGATAGATGGAGATTCCGTTGCGGCGTTGCCGTCGCGACGCGTTCGTTTGCTGTCTGCTGCTGTGCCTGTTTAAAAATGCATTAGAGCCAACTGCTGAAACATCCATTTACATCTGTCACAGAAGTGAAGGAGGGGAGCGAGGCCCGGCACTCTTTCCATATTCGCTCCAGCTATGGAGATAGATGGGGTGTGTTTTCCCCCCGTCTTCCTCCTTTCTCCTCATTCATATCTCGGCTTAACAGTGCACCTCACAGGAAGTATTATTCAAGGGGTGGTAAATGTCCAGACATCTGAGTTTTTTCCTGAACGCATTGGATGAACAAGACTCTTACATACAGCCATCTAAAAATGAACATTTTTCAAATTCTAAGGTCTTAAAATTCAAAAAATAAAAAACAACCACTTGGTTGTTATCAGGTTTTAAATAAAGGCAAACTAAATTACCATCACGTGTTCAGATTATTAGAACGGAGCCGAAAGCATTTGACTGTTTTAATACTATGAATAGGAATTTATGATTAAATGAAAAGGTGAAGATGAAGGGGTTGGCTGGCAGACTGAGAAAACCTTCCTTCTCAGCAAACGGTTGTAGAATTGATGGGCCAAATCATTTTAAAAACCTCTCTGACTCTGACAGACCTTCATAAGGATTTAGCAATGCCCCTCACCGTCATGCAGAGGTCATCAGAGAAGAAGCTTTTGTGAATTCTGGACAATAACTATTAATAATTATTACAGGTACGTGTCTGAACCATATGGCAGGCTCTCTTACTTCTCTCCTACTTACTGACTTATTGATATTATTAACACTTACGCACAGGATTTATAGAATTTAATATAGATTCAGATTACAGTCATCCATTTAAGATTTTTAAGATTAGGTTGAGCTTGCCACTGTTTGTTTTCTTTATGTCATCCTGAGGCTTGCCCAATTCTGGGATCGATAAAATACATCATATCTTATCTCAACTTTTCATTTTCTGTTGACTGTGGTAAGATGCATAACTGATATATCATTTCGTGAAGCCTTTTATTAAGGCCAAATAGTTGGGTTTGGAACAAAACGTCTAGCTGTAGCTCAGCTCCGGAAAGCAACATTGTTATGGGTTAAATAATATGCCTGCATAATCAAACCATCCCATCAGTGTGCAACATGCTGATGCAGACACCTGTCCGTTTTCCCAGCATTAAATCAGGGCCATGCATGAAATTTCCATGACACCAAATCCTTCAAGCATAAAAACCCTTCTCATGTTTCAGTGAATGCAGATTAGCTGTATCTCAAATCTCTGAGGAAGGTCAAAAATATGTTGACATGGTAACTTATATACAGTTACCTATGTGTAAATACTGTGAAAATAACCAATTTATCATCAAATTTGTGTTAGGGATGTAGATTAAAAGTAAAG